CGCCTGGCACTTAGTGAAGGGGTTTTATTCCCTCCCTAACTTCAGGGGAAAATCTCTACCTGGGGAAACAACCTTTCTTGGGGAGGTGACCTTGGTTAAAACACATAGTGCCAAGAAGGGGAGCAAACATATTAAGAACAGTATGCCATATACGCCAGGTCCCTTGAAACAGCAAGGATGGACTGGCTCCCGGCAGATGGAACTCCGCTCTATGCAGCACTTGGAATGAGTGATTGTTAGAACAAGGAACATGGACTTGGTGAGAGATTCCTTTTTGGGGTCAGGTGATCCTCAAAATCACTCTTCAGGAGGTTGTGAGTGATGGAACAAGTTAGATATCTAACAGAAAGTTTATTTTCAAATTTCCTAACATCTGTCCTCCCTCCCTTTTCCTTCCTTCCGCCCTCCCTCCCCCACTCCTTTTCTTTCCTTCCCACTTTCCACTTGCGAAGTTGACCTCCAGCGAGGTGACTTGGTGTCAGACTCAGTATTCCTACTTACAACTTTTTCATAGTCTCCCCCTCCCCCATCGCTGGTTTTCTTTGAAAAGATGCTGTCATTATCTGTCAGGTCATATTTTTAAAAAATCTCACAGAAAACAATCTATTTAATGTTGGTTTATTCTGTAGCATAAAAGAGATTTCCATGAGATTCTTGTATAAATTGGAAAATTGTTCAGAAATAGGCGTTAAGTATGCAATATATAAATTGCCTTTTTTGAGCCTGGGGGTGGTTATCTTATCACACGCCCTTTCGTGCACACACAGAACAGAAAAAGAGGCAAAGCCAACAGAACTTCAGACAATTTAAGAAAAAAGAAAAGAAGATCCAGTGGGAAGGAAGGACCAGCGTCCTGAGGGAGGGCCATGAGTAAGCAGCTCTACCCGGGCCTGAACGTACGGACAGTAATGAGGCCATGCAGAAGCTGGATGCCTGGGGATGATCAGCCAGGAGTGCAGTGTCAGGGGAGTTAGAACCGGTCTCCTGCCTTGAGTGGGATGAGAATCATTAACTCGCTCGCTTAACCAGCCGTGAGGCGCAGCCACCTAGCTGCTCCCTTCTGTCGGGGCGAGTGTCAGTGTCTGCACCACCCAGTGAAGGAGGGGGAGAGGGGGCCAGGCGCCAGCAGGAGGGCCACGCACTGGAAGGAGCCCAGGGGACTTTGGACCTGCCCCTCCCCTCAGTGCGGCTCTCTTGACTTAAGGGGTCATCTCCAAACAACCATCCTCAGTTCTGAGGCCATGAAATTAAAGCAGATGACCTTCGTCTTTGCCTCACGGGCTCCCACAGTGTCCCAGGAGCAGCCTTTGAGAGGAGCTGAGCACAGAGTCCCAGAAGGGGTGTGGTGGATGGAGCTGCTGGTGCACCAGCCTCTTGACACTTCTTCCCTCTCTTCCCCTCCCCTCGCCTGACCGGGTGGATGGTGAGGAGGAAGGACTTGGGCCAAACCATCCATTACCCTCCCTCCCACCCTAGGCTTCTGCATAGCCCCTGGGCAGAACCACTGCCAGCTACGAGCCCTCTCTCCAGGGTCCGGAGGACAGGAGCAACACAGGGGCCCGGCTTGTCTCTCGCAGAGGAAACCTGAGATGGCCCAGGCAGCACTGCGAGGCAGGCATTTGCAGTCTGTGGACTGTGAGAAGCCTGGTTTCCAGCAGGGACAGCTGAACCCAGTGCTTCCGGAGCCCGTGGCACCCACCTGTCCGCTATGTAGCCGATCCCCATGGAGCCGACAAAGAATCCCACGTTCACGGCCGCCTGAACCAGGTCCAGCATCCAGGAGTTGGCACACACCAGGTTAAACTGCCGAGGGCCGGAGGGGTCCCGCGTTCGGAGAGAAAGGAAGCAAACGGTCAGACCCGCCTCAGCCTGGGGAGCTCCCCTGTGTCCCCGGCATGGGGCGGACGGGCCGGGAGGCAGGAACCCACTGTTTTCTTGCCATTTGTTAAGTTTCCCCACATGACCAAAGGATTTGTCCCGCAACCTGTTTAGCGTCCCGCCTGGCACTAGGTCGTTAGGCTAAACTCCGTTGCGGCTACATCAGCCGAAATCGGGTAGTCACTTCATTTCTGCACAGAACAATTTCCCTTTCTAATTTTAGTGCACAAATAGGTGTATGAACAGGACACAAAAGCTGCCTGGAGTAGGTTGGGCTGTTCCTCGTCTCGTTGCTGTCTCTTTAAGGCCGGGGCTGGGGTCAGGGCAGGGAGGTGGGTGAGA